GTTACAGTCATCTCATCTCTTAGGCATTTAGTCAAACACTTATTAGGCAATAAGAAAAAGTTCAATTATCTAATATATTAGGCATTTCATCTAAGGCAATGATCAGTTAAACAACATTAAACAATTGATATGTAGATCGTACCTGAAGCAAACTCGTTTTGAACACGATAGTGATTTTGTGGAATCGAGCAATCACTAAAGGAAGGAATGAGAAGAAAATCGAGAAACAATCAGGGAGGCGAGGTGGAGCATTTAGGTCAAGAACATCAGGACATTTATGAATGAAACCCAATTTGATTTCACAATCCAAAATCTATACCCTTAACTTTGCATCCTCGATATACACAGGAAATCAATGAAATTGTGGTTACACAGAATCAATTCAATGTTTAATTAGTGAATCTGTAAAAGTAATCAAAGAATAGTAAGAGCGTATGGAGAAGAATCTCAATTATGCTGTTGGAAAAAAAATAGATTGATATAATGGACACCGATCAGGGTCTGGTTGCCTTTGTAGAGATTTATATTAAGGACATCGTCAAGATAGAGACCAAGAATAGCATTAATTAATTCAGCCCCCTTGTTTCCAGGTTTCTTCTTATTGGTATCCGTAAAAACCTTGAAGAGGACCAACATAGAATCAATTGCTGAGGGAAAGGCCAGTAAGAGACAAACTCATATATATTCCTACAAAATGAGTCTTAAATCTATCACATATCTAGAGCTCAGAAAACAAAGTTATGTATTGAAGATTGGGAATGTCATCAAGGCTCGCCCAAATTAGCCAGTGGAGTTGGTTGTTATTGGCGCTCAATTGATTCCATCTTTTTTTCTTTATGCAATTACAAAATAACATGCAAAAAACAAGAAATTATTCAAAATGGAACATGAAAATCGACTTACAGAGAAGGAGAAATGTTGCATACATGTGTCAATTGTGAAATAGTGGTGTAGTGATTGTTTAATTAGAATTGAAAAGAATGTATTTCGCTAAAAAATATATGGAAATTAGAACCTAGAACAACAATTTACCGTGAACTCAAATCGAGTTTGCAAGACTGAAGAAAAATTAGAACCTGGAAGAACAATGTTAAATTCCGAAACTGAAACATCTGAACTTAAATCGAGTTTGCAAGATTGGAGAAAAAGGAACAAATTCGAATAGATTTCAATGGGACAAGAAAATCGATCCAATGGATTAACGACAACTGGTGAATAAACTTGAAATCAAATTAGGGTTCGTGTAGATAACATACCAGCGGGAAGACGATGAAGGCAGTGGGAACGGTTTTGTCATTTTCTTTGATTCCGCATGCAAAACATATGCGGTTAAGAAAATGGAGAATTTCTTGTTGGTCGCATAATCAGGGTTTTCCGTTTTGTGGAAGATATGTTACGATTTTTGTTTGGAGAGGAACCGGTACGTGTGATTGGAGAGATGGAGAATGGATCGGTATCTCGAATTGCAAAAGGAAGGTGTTCAACGGATGCAACGATCAGATTTAATCGACAATTTGTATGCTGCGTCGTTCGGGGAGCGGGCTACGTGGCGGTATTGGAATCCTCTGAACAAACAATGTGCTGTAGACGGAAGCAGAGAAGAAGAGGAAAAGGGTTTATATAGAAGGTGAGGCATTGAAGGAGAAACGACGATAAGAAGGATTGAATCGACGTAGTGGTACGTTGCATCGTTTTGAGGGTGGGTTACGTGGAGGTATTAGAACAGTGCGAATTGATTCTAGGCGGCACCAGAAAATTAGGGTGTTTATATATATATATATATATATATAATATATATATATATATATTATATATATATATATATATATATATATATATAATATATATATATATATAGTTAGGTTCACATATAACCTATAAATATCCTCCCTAATAAATAAAGATCTTTTTGTCACATGTCACATTCTCATTTATTTTGCCACATGTAATTTTGTGGTTTTTTTTAATTAATTTTTATTCCACATGTCATTTTATGGTTTTTTCATTTTATTAAATTCCAAATAATATTTAAATGTAATAATAAATGCATATCAATTTCATTAATGAACTTTCCTTCTAATTTCAAAATTACTAAATTAAAGATTCATTAGTTTTCTTTATTTATTTATCTAAATTATTTGTTTAAATTTAAATGAGAAAAAAAAACACTTTAATTTTTATAATTCAATATTTTCTCACTTTTCTTATAAATTCAAAAACTTCTCAAATGTTTTGAATTTTGTATTTAGTTTTTCTTTTAAATAAACTCATGTAATACATGGGTCTCACACCTAGTTGTGTGAATATATGCCACGTTCTCAACCAATCAATTAATTTTAAATGATAATCATATAATTATGGTAATTGAGATTAACAAGGAATTTGATTTCAAAAGCACTCACTATATGATCAACCTAATTTTGAGAGTTTTTTTTATAAATAAAATAGGATTCACACATAAGAAGGAAAGGATGAAGAACGCCTTCTTCTGCCTTCAACTTGCCGTCTCTAGAGTTGCACAACACCATCGTCGAACCACCGATGGTATCATCATCATCTCAACCTTTCATCTTCCATCTACACCACCTGAAGATCATCGTCGAACCACCATGGTATCATCATCATCTCAACCTTTCATCTTCCATCTACACCACCTGCAAATCGGGAAAAAATATAAAAGGGGTGTTGGTCCTTGTTTGCGACAGAGGGAGAAAGACGCAATGAAGGAGATAAAAAGAAAGGGGGTGGGTTCCTCTTCTAGGTTTTGTTTATCATCTTATCTCTCTCTCTCTTTAAGACATTTTTTTGCTTCTCTTCCTCTTTCTATGTCGATGTTATCGTAAATTCTTTTTAAAACATTCTCAACTTGATTCTAAATCTAGCTATGTTATGTTTTCATCGTGTGAAGATTTTTTTATTACAACCCATATGATTTTTTAGAATCAAACCTTAATAGATGAATCAGATATTTATTAGAGAATAAAAGGTATAAAACAATTTACACAACCTTGATTGAAGGTTAGGATCGAGTACAAACCTGTGTGGAGTATCTACATAACGACTTAGGTATTGATAAATCTAATAGTTTAGATAAGAATTTTTTATATATTTTGGTTTCATCATGATTACGCTTATTTAATATATTTTATATGAGGAGAAATTGATGCAAACTATTCTCAATTATGAAGTTCCCTTGCATAAATATGTGGCCATGATGGAACTTGAGGTATCATTCAATTTTTATTTACTTTTTCCCTTTTCCCTTGATTCTATATAAACATGTAAGTTCCGATTTCATCATTTTTTATATTTTTTATGTAAAAATCCCACATGTTTTGTATAATCAAAACTTTGGTTTTTGTTAGTTATCTCATTACACAATTGGCTTTACCAAATCGACTATTTCACTTGTTTTTTTTAGGTGAGAGACGAATAAAGCATTTGGAATTTAAGAATTTTCATTTTTTTGTTTAAATTTACTCTTTTTATTATTCATATTTTTTTTGCGGGTCATGAATAGGGGATACAAGTTTGTTATTCCCACATCAGTCATTCCCACATAATGTTATTATCAAAGAATACAATTTTATGGCATTTATTCTCATAGAATGTTTATGATCAAGAGCCTAAAGTCCGAAGAGATAAATGGTGCATGAAGGGTATCATGATAATCAAGGAAGTGAAGGTTGGATAATGGGTTTTCAAGCAAGGGAACCAGATAATCTTCTCACCTTGTTCCACTTATTGAACAATGAAGAACTTCACACCATCTGGTTTCTTATCCACCTTCTAGGAAGTAACAAAGACCTATAGTCACCTTCATTGTTGTAGTTAACTCCTCATACTGTACAAACATCAGGCCATAAGTTTATGTAATTGTACTTTATTTTCATTCTAATGAGAATGTTAGATGCGTAGTTGTAAATTGTCTTAATCCTTATGATAATGTTAGCTTTTTATATTTGAATTTTAGGTTATGCTTTTATTTCCCGTCTTATTCTTCGACAAAGTTATTTTATTATTTCAACAATGTTGAATTATTCTTCAAGAATATTATTTTATTATTTCAACAACATTGGATTATTCTTCAAGAATGTTGGCTATGCGCTTGGATTTAATGCCTATTCTTAGAGAATTTTAAACTATTATTCAAGAATGTTAACCCATTCTTCAAGAATGCCAGTTATGACCATGTAGTTAATGTCTTATTCTATAAGAATGTCTTACGAGAATGTCATTCGTAATCATTCTTATCATCAAGCATTATGATTTAACTAAAAAAATTGACTCTTAACTATTTTCATGATATATAAGTAGCTTTATTTTTAAAAAAATTGATTCTTAACGTTGTATCAACCATGCAAATCGTTAAAAGATTGTAATTCGTAAGCATAACAATGGCATAAAATAAGTCACAACAATTAACTCTGAACTGTTCCCATGATGAAGAAAAAAAAATCTAATTTTATATATAGTTAAAAAAGAAAACTTAATTCTTAAAGAATGAAATATGTTAATAAATTTAAATTGATACCCAATGAAAATCTCACATTCCATATATATTTTTACCATTCTTACAATTTTGCCGTTACAATTAATTAAATGCAATTATAGAGTAAATGCAAGTACATGTTAACAATGTGTACCCTCATATCTTAACCCTTTAATCTTTTAAATATAATGGACAAGAATTCGTCATACATTCACACAATATTTATAGTTCACATTTGATCCTAACCCTATATATATATATATATATATATATATATATATATATATATATATATAGATGTACCATCGGGTTCGTCTTCCATCTTTCACCATTGGATTAGTTTTACCCGAGCAAATAGATTGACCTGAAGATACAAACAAACCGTAAGCTAGTCGGTCGGGATGAGATCCTGGATAACGCTCCGATGGTTAAGTTAGCGAAAGGCTATATTATCGATCGATTATAGGGGTGGAAAGTTAAACAAGTGAGATAAGTATGACTTCTGTGTATGTACCTTTTTGACGAGTCGGATTACCTATTTATAGCGAAGGAGGAAAAGGTAACGAGTTCTTCCCGTATCGACCCTGTCATGCCATCTTATCGCATTTATGGCATTATGCTCGAAGGTACGACTAGTTGTACTTTGTATGCTGTTACACAACTGTCATATGGTTGTGCCAGGATCCGTCAGCCACACATCCTCGTACAGACTGTATTCTCATGGTTTCGATGTACTATTGCTACTGTTTCGACGTCACTTTGTACTTTCTCGTTGGTCTTTCTTTTCCTTTCGAGTCTTCGTGCCAGTTCAGTATATAGGTGGGCAACTTCGAGACATATTGGGCAGGTGACTTCAAGTGATCTTGCAACATGCTGGTTCGGTATATTTGGGAAGGATATAGGTATTTCCGGACTATATCCTATTAAGCCCCCTAGTTTGTATCTCTATGTAATCGTTGAAGTAGGGATGCAAACTTTGGAAGGAACGACATTATAGCCGTGTCAATCGGATAAGGGCGAAAAACTCATGAATTAACTTCGACGTGATGTGTTGACGGTTATGCTAGTCCTCATGATGATCCCTATAACCGTCTTTTCGGCTACTTTTTCTTTAATATGGGTACAGTACCCACCAACCATATTGTCTACCCGTTAATCCTCATATGCTCTAGACTTACTATAAATATTTGGTATTGAATCATTCGTTTCACCATTCACCATCTCAGTTAGACTCATTCTCCTTTTTTTGCCAACCTTTTCTCTCATCTCCTTTTTCCTTTCTGAATATGACGAGCACTGGGATTTATCACATTGGGACGGAAAAATCCAAGTTAACTGGTTGGACTATGGGTATGCTCGTTCGGAAGTATGAAATTGACTCCAAATTTCATCTCCGTCTGCTGGAGGCCACTGATGTCATTACCGACGCCCCTGAAGGCTTTGTGGGGGTTTAACGGGTGTTTTTCAAATCTGGGTTGCAGCTTCATGCTTTCGATTTTCTAGAGACTGTTCTGGATTATTATGGTCTGCACATCGCCCAAATAAACCCTAACGGGTTTCTGAAGATCCTTTGCTTCACCCTGTTATGCGTCGCTTTGGGTGTGTCGCCGACCATCAACCTATCTCGCCATTTTTACATTCCGATATCCAACGGGGATTGGGGTTCTTTATCTCTTCGCCATGGTTTGGTGGAAATTTGTGACGGTCTTCCAACCTCCATAAAGTGTTGGAAGGAGGAGTTATTTTTCGTTCACGCCTCTGCTTTCTCAGGCCCTATGGCGTACGGTGCTACCTCTGACAGGGCCGCTGACCCCGTCCCCAAGCTATCGTCCTACGAGCAACTGATATCGGAGAGGTTATCAGACAATTTTGTTCGATGGGTGGATCCCGACGAAGTGATGCTGGGTATGGCTGGCATGAGTCCCCATTGGAAGCATTTGGTTAAGAAGTTGGTGGAGATGTTAGAGGGGAAAGACGTAACCCTTCTTGATCGACTTCATCGGAGACGGATTGCGAACTCCGCCTTAGTGACGGATGAGGTGATAGTGCCGAATTCCCCGAATAGGTCAGAGTCTAGCATGGACTTTGCCCTAGACATTTCTCGAGCAGAGGGTTCTAGACCTATTCCTCCTACCCTTCGTTCGAAGAGATAGAAATTGGACTCCGATTTTGGCAATCATCCTACGGTATTTACAAGGGCTGCATCAAAAGGGTTTGTCTTAAAGAAGCGTTCGAAGAGTGCTCAAGACGATCAACTGATTGGGATGTCCCCTCCCAAACGGAAGCGTTCTGGTCGCGAATTAAAAAGTCGAAGCCTGAATGATCTATCTGGTCCTATGATTTCCGATGTTGTAAGCTCTGAGCGTGCCTCGGAAGATCCTGCTTCTGCTATTTTTCACAAATGTCCAATTGAGCCGGACAGCGAGATGAAGCGCGTGGAAGATGATGCGGAGGTGCCTCACTCGGGCAAACCGGAATCGGAGACCGTTACTGGAGGCCTCCCGGAGAAGATCCCTGAGGATCCCCCTTTGGAGAAAGAAGACCCCAAGGGTCTGTCTTTTACGGTTATGTTTCAACAAAAGCTCTTTGGGTCCAGACTTGGTCGCTTTATGGTATCAACAACAAACTACTCGGTAGTTATTCCTATTCCTATTCCCCCCGATACCACAACTGGGAATAAAGAGCCTGTGGAAACAGAATCTGTAGATATGGAAGTCAGTATCCCGAATCCTCCCCCCTCGACAGGATGTATGTTCCCTTTCTCCCTTTGTCGATGTTTGCTTTTTGTGTGTTTTAGATCTTTGTTGTGATTCACTTGCTTATTGATTGTGCAGCTATTGTTATTACAGGAAAAGAAGCCACGATTCCGACATTGGTCACTCTTGCTGCTTCATTTCCCCGGTTCCAACATCCTTTTGCTGTGACAAGTATTCCCAAGAGCCCTTTTCAGACAGGGGTTGCGTTTGATGAAGAAGCGCTAGATAAGGCTCGATCATGTTTGATGGATGGAATGCACCTGTTGAACGAGGTGTCTAGACGCGCAAGGGCGCGTACAGAGCAGCTTTCTCAGCGTCAAATCGTGTTTGAGGAAGCTTTGGAAGGGTTGAAGCGACTTCAGACCCTTCACGAGCAAACAGAAGAAGAAGCTAAGGGGTTGAGGGAAGAGGTAGCCGGTTTGTCAGGGAGAAACCAAAATTTGGTGAGAGATTTGAATCAAGCCATCTATCAACAGGGGGAGTTGAAAAAGTTGAATCAAGATCTACAACTAAAATTGGATGATGTTGTGAGCCGCCGCGTATCTGCCGTCAAAAAACTCGAGGGTATCTCTCAGCAGTACCATTCACTGAAGTCGTAATATACTGAGAAGGTTTCTCAGTTGGAAATTGCCTACTCTAGCAAAGATGTGAGTATTAAATTACTAGAGGAGGAGTTAGCCGCGACGAAGCTTCTAATGTTGGAGAAAGATGCACGAATTGCCACCTTGAGCGACTCACAACTTCTGATGGAGCAGAATACAACAATTTGCCAGATGTGACCAGATCAAAAGGCTGAGGAGCTGCGATGGGTCACAAACGAAGGAATCCCTACCTTTGTTCGGACTTTGTTGGATTCAAGCGACTTTGGTGCCGTGAATTTCGCCTTGTAGACATCCGCTATCCAGCTTGGCATCCATCAAGCCTGTGTGGAAATGAAAGAAAAGTACCCCAGGGAGCTGAAAGGTAAAATTGTTTTGTACTCGTACCCAGATGTGCAACGTTAAATTATGTAACGTTTTGTTGTGTAATTGTAAGAGTTATTTGTGATTTCGATTATTCTTCTATCGGTAATGGTGTGCGTATAATTTTGTATTGACTAAAGCGTTCGTCAGACCTTGAAATGCTCCATCCGTTAACTCGGATGCTATGCTTAGTATATTGCTCGAACCATTGGGTTTGAACTTAAGGTTCGAGTAATTGGAATATCAAGCCATAAGTTGAAGGGTTATGGCGATGTTTGTAAGTTGTTCGAACCATTAGGTTTGTACCTAAGGTCCGGGTAATAAGAACATCGAGCCATAATTTAGAGGATTATGGCGATGTTTGTAAGTTGCTCGAACCATTAGGTCTGAGCCTAAGGTGCAAGTAATAAGAACATCGAGCCATAATTTGGAGGATTATGGTGATGTTTGTAAGTTGCTCGAACCATTAGGTTTGATCCTAAGGTTCGAGTAATAAGAACATCGATCCATAATTTGGAGGATTGTGGCGATGTTTGTAAGTTTCTCGAACCATTAGGTCTGAGCCTAAGGTTCGAGTAATAAGAACATCGAGCCATAATTTGGAGGATTCTGGCGATGTTTTATTATCGATTGATGTACCATCGGGTCCCTCTTCCATATTTCACCATTGGATTAGTTTTACCTGATCAAATAGATTGACCTAAAGAATACAAACAAACTGTAAGCTAGTTGTCCAGGATGAAATCCTGGACAACACTCTGATGGTTAAGTTAGTGAAAGGCTATATTATCGATCGATTATAAGGGTGGAGAGTTAAACAAGTGAGATAAGTATGACTTCTGTGTACGTATCTTTTTGACGAGTCGGATTACCTATTTATAGCGAAGGAGGAAGAGGTAACAAGTTCTTCCTGTATCGACCCTGTCATGCAATCTTATCGCATTTATGGCATTATGCTCGAAGGTGCGCCTATTTGTACTTTGTATGTCGTTACACAGTTGTCATATGGCTGTGCCAGGATCCGTTAGCCACACATCCTCATACAGACTATATTCTCATGGTTTCGATATACTATTGCTACTGTTTCTACATCACTTTGTACTTTCTTGTTGGTCTTTCTTTTCCTTTCGAGTCTTCGTGCCAGTTCGGTATATAGGTGGGCAACTTCGAGACATATGGTGCAGGTGACTTCGAGTGATCTTGCAACATGCTGGTTCGGTATATTTGGGAAGGATATAGGTATTTTCGGACTATATCCTATATATATATATATATATATATATATATATATATATATATATATATATCTATTATATAATGTGGATGGTAAATATTATATGGATGGAGGAATGATTGTGGTCCAAACCTTTTTATTAATTTAAGAATGTGATTATCTTATAGAATTAAATTAAAAAAATAAATTAAAAGGATTTCATTAAATAGGAAAGGCTATCTAAGGGTATTTTAGTATATTAGCATCACCATCAAAATAGGAAACTATGGTATCATTTGGTAATTGACTCACTCATCCCCCAAAATCTCGCACACGGCAGAATCCATCACCCTTTCATTCTGAGCACAAAATCACTACGATATTGTATAATCTAAGCATAAAATCGAAGGATTATGTGAAGCAATTTCATATATATATATATATATATATATATATATATATATATATATATATAGTGATTATCCTAAAATAGTTTAACGAGAAGGAGCATTCGGTGAACCTGTGGTTTGTTGTTGTACTACGGGGTTTTTTGTATTTTTACAAAATGTATTCTTCCGGAATCAATAAATTTTAAATGGATTGTAATATGAGAAAAAGGTTTGTTGTTTAATAAAGGAACTATGATAGAATGTATGATGCATATAATGTAAGTGTGTATGTATGTGTTATTATGTTAGAATTAAGGTATGTATGTATCAATATTCTTTTAGAATGAAATAATTATAAATAAAGGTGTTACTAATATCTTAGAAAGTATTCAGTTAGAATTAACTAATAATATATGAATGTAGTATAATCTGTTAGAAAGTTACTACGTATGTATGTATGTATTATTAATATGTTATAAAGAAGGTATGTGTGTATTTAAATTCTGTTAGAAGTGTGTATACATTTGAACACGAAACATATGCATTGTTCAAGTTTTTATATGAAATATTCAATAAGAATAACAACTCAATTGACAATCATATATTATATACTATAACATTCTTTCTAAATCATATGATCTTAATTCCGTCAGAATGGTATTTGAAATATAACATAATCCATAAACTAATATTAAATTTTATTGAATGTAAACATAAACATAATGGATCTTCAAGAAGAAGACCGACATTGATGGAAATGTACACGCCTTCAAGGCTTGACTAGTTGCGAAAGGCTTTACTCAAACCCTAAGGGTTGACCATGACGAGACTTTCTCACCAGTGGCCAAGATAAAATTTATTAGGGTAATGCTAGCCATAGTTGCATTTCATGACTATGAAATTCGGTAGATGGATGTCAAAACTGCTTTCCTTAATGGGAAGTTGGTTGAGGATGTTCACATGAGTCAGCCACAGGTTTTTATAGATGCAAAGTATCCAAATAGAGTGTGTAAGCTTGAGAAATCAATTTAAGGATTGAAACAAGCTTCTTGCAGATGGAATCTTTGTTTTGATGAGAAAGTCAAAGAGTTTGGTTTCTCTAGAAGTGAAGATGAATCTTGTGTATATGTCAAAGCTAGTGGGAGTATAGTAACCTTCCTGGTTTTGTATGTTGATGACATACTACTTATAGGAAACGACATTCCAACTTTGCAAGAGGTAAAGTCTTGGCTTGGGAAGTGTTTCTCTATGAAAGATCTGGGAGAGGCTACTTATATTCTAGGGATAAAAATTTTGAGAGACAGGAGTAAAATGCTAATTAGACTTAGTCAAAGTACTTGTTTGGAAAAGGTACTAAAGCGTTTTAGTATGGAGAATTCCAAGAAAGGAGAACTGCCTATACAGAGTAATACCAAACTGAGTAAGACTCGGAGCCCAAGTGCTGATGCAGAGATAGCAGAAATGAGTAGAGTTTCATATGCTTCCGCCATAAGATCTATCATGTATGTTATGACATATACTCGCCCTGATGTGGCTTTTGCTTTGAGCATGGTTAGTCTTTATCAGGAAAATCCAGGTAGAACTCATTGGATAGCAGTTAAGAATATTATTAAGTAACTGCGAAGAACTAAGGACTGGGTCCTTGTGCTTGGTGGCGGTGATAACCTAAGAGTAACTGGGTATAGTGACGCCAACTTTCAAACAGATAGAGACAACTTCGGTTCTCAATCTGGCTGGGTATTTACCCTTAATGGAGGAGCAGTAACCTGTAAAAGTTCCAAACAGGAGACGATGGATGATTCTACTTGTGAATCAGAGTACATAGCAACAAGCGAAGCATCAAAGGAGGCTATTTGGTTGAATAACTTCATCGGATACCTTGGAGTTGTTCCAGCCATCAAGGAGCCAATGGATATTTTCTGTGATAATGACGGGGCGGTTACCTTAACAAAGGAACCAAGATATCATGGCAGATCAAGACATATCAACAGAAATATCATTTCATTAGACATAGAGTAGAAGAAGGTCACCTCATCGTGAAGAGAGTATCGTCAGAAGAGAACGCGGAAGATCCCTCACAAATGGTCTGAGTAGGGTTATGCACGTTCACCATGCTAGGAGCATTGGTCTGAAGGATGATGTTAGTTTTGGTAGTTAGATAGATATTTAGTAACTTGTAATGAAATAAATGTAATTGACTTTTGGTGATTAAATAATGGAGATTTATTTATGAGTTGGATTACTACCTTCTGTCTATTATTTATTTTGTGTTTTATTTTGCATGTTTTACTTCCCGAATAATTATATTGTTCAAACATCCACAGTCGATCATACTTTTGGAAGTAAGTAGTGAATCAAGATTGTCATGAATTGAATTGTAGATTATCTAAAGGGTTTTAGACATAGCAAAGGTATTGCTGCAATATTCGTGAGTACTTTGAAATAGAGAATTTTAGTATTGGATTAACCCATGTTCAAAGAATTACTTCATGAAATTTATCACAAGTAATTCTAAGATGACAATATCTTATAATCCTTAAATGGAGATATATGAGTTGTTGTTTACACGTTGATTGTGCATTAATGATACATAAACGCATCAGTAACTTAATGTTATAAAATGTCTTGTTGTGCATGATTTGATGAGTAAATAGTACAAGCATATGAGTCAAAGTTTATCTGTTCCTTTTTATCCTTAGGGAGAAAAAGTTATATCTTTGGGCCCTCGATGATTTGGTGTTGACTGATAGTGTCGGGCCTGACCAAGACTAAATTGATGTGTTCGATTAGTAGTTCTTTGTCATTACAAATCAGGAATCGGGAAACAAAGTATTGGACAATGAGATTAATTATGTTCCATGTCTCATGTCTACATGATATCTTGTAGAACGGGGGATTATATGATCACTTATCTTAGGACATGTATCTGACTGGGTCAGAGTTCGTCAGCGGCTTTTGAGAGCTACAGTTTGCTAATCAGTTTAGAAGAATATACTGGCAGTTATAGTTGTTAGACTTATCCAAGTGGGAGACTA